GCCGCGAAGAGAGCATCGGGCGGCCGCTCCCGCCGCGAGCGACGCCGATAAGACGACGACTCGTCGTCATGAGCGAGAGAAGGAGCCGTTGAACGCGAGCGGCCGAAAGGGGTTTCCTCCGCAGGGCGTTCAATGTCTTCGGGCCGCAACTCTTCCTCTCCGTGGGAAGTTTGGCATTTGGGGATTGAAAAGTGGGCACGCACGTCGCGCTTGGAGGACCATTTTATGCGTGAAACCGTTTGGACGGAGAGGGCGCCGCTCGAACATCTCGACAAGGCGTCGGAGGCGCGTGTGAGGGCCCAACAGCCAGAAAAACAAAATGGCGCTGGAGCCCTCCTCCAAACGCCAAATGAGGTCGGCCATTGGTCCTTTTCTTGTGCCTCATTTTTGGCCTCTTATTGAGCTCACATTTCATCAAATTGCCGTTGAACATTTCGGTCCCCGTCATGGCAAGAGCATCAACTCACCCAAAACACACACACACACACACACACACACACACACACACACACACACACACACACACGCAGACGCGCACGTGAAGCTTAAAAGCCTCCCAGATGGCCGGCGCTGCTTAAAAAGAAGCCAAATCCCTCCAAAACGCCAGCAAGTGTTTCTTTTGCCGTTACGATGCTTTCAACTTCACTCATTCACCTCGAGGCGACATTCGTTCAACTTCTTTCGAGTCGAGTCAAGTTGGTTTGCGGAGCCCTTCGTCCTCAAAGAGTCGGCGTCCCCCGGTCGAAAGGAAAGGCTCAGGAAAGAAGAAGAAGAAGAAGACACCTTGTGAAGTCAAACCTTGCTCACGAGATGAAGCAGCGTTTGGGGAAAGCGTTCGAGTGCCGATGTCGGCGGCGCAGACGCCAGGCCGCGACGGCCTGGCTTCCGTCGTCGCGGCCACCGGGCCGCCTCTCTACACTGGAGAGGAGGCGGGGAAGCGGCAGTCAAACAAGGCGCAATCACCATGTCGGGGGGCAGAGGAGGCAAGAGAGCAATTCCAAAAGCCGAGAAGTCGGTCTCCTGCCCGGATTGCAGCCTTTGCGCAGCGCTAGGCGTGCTGCTGAAATGGAAGAAGAAAATCAGCCGTAGGACTCCATCTCTCAGGCATCGCCGTTTGGCAGCGAGACCGGCTTGAAATTGAAGATCAGACAACCTGGACTTGTCTCCCAGTGGACACATTCCCGATTTACAGCAGCAACATGATGGGAGGGAAAAGTGGAAGAAATCGAAATGGAAGCATCTTCAAAATGGCTGAGCGGGGTTGAGTCCAGCTTTTGGAGTCAGCTCCGTCTAGTCACGAGGGACGAGCGGCGCTACGTCTCCTTCTCGGGGCTCGGGCGTCGCGCTCTCTGGCTGAAGGAGCTGCCCGGTGCCGCCGACCACTCACTTTTGGTCCAACTTTTTACGGGAATAAAAAAATATATATATAAATATCTATCTATCTCTATATCTCTTCTTCTCGGCAGCGTCGTTTGATCTTCTTTCCCTCACTTTCCGTCCCACTTCTTTGAGTTGTCTGTCCTTCTGTTGTTGGCGTGCGCAGCTGCTGAACGACGGCGGCGTCGTCAACCGCAAGTTCAAGTGCGCCGAGTGCGGAAAAGCTTTCAAGTACAAACATCACCTGAAGGAGCACCTGCGCATCCACAGCGGTAGGTGGCGCCGGCGCGTTCCCTCGCCGCGGCCTCCGGACCTTCTGATCGGTCGAAGAAAAACTCGAGCAAACGTCGTCGTCAGAGGCGGGAGGCTTTGGGTCGCGCAAAAGTTGACGCCGTACGGGAAAAAAAAAGTCGGAAAGGTACAAAGTGCAGTTTGAAGGACGGGAGCCCTCGAACGAAAGGTCGCGGGTGCGGTAGGAAGAAGAGCAAGTGAAGTTCGGAAGGTGACTTTGTTCCCAAGGTCGCAAGGAAGACTTGTCGTTGAAGGAGGTGGGCGTGAAAAGTGAAGCCGGGAAGTCAGAAACGAAACAGAACAAAAGATAGGAACGCTCAGAGTGGCGGGAGGCTCTCGGGCCTCCCGGAACACGTCGTTGTCTTATTTTGCTGTTTTTTTTCCAGGTGAAAAACCGTACGAGTGCTGCGACTGCAAAAAGCGCTTCTCCCATTCGGGCTCGTACAGTTCCCACATCAGCAGCAGGAAGTGCGCCGGGCCCATCGGTCTCCGCAGACGTCCGCAAAGGGTCGGGTGCGCCGCCGAGCCCGCCCCGCAGCCCCGCCCGGCCCCGGCCCAGCTCCGCCGCAAGCCGGAAAAGGCCCGAGCGCAATACCGCCTCGACGTCCGGTCCGAGACAACGGACGGGCTGATGACGGCCTCTCACCGTAGGCTCGGGAGACCGAAGGGCCCCGGGGTCTTCGCCGACGGGTTGGGCTCCCGCTGCCGGCTGGGAAGTTGGAGCGTGAATTTCCTTCTGCCGGGGACCCCGGAGAGCCCGAACGAGATGCGCGGAGGAACGACGGACGGGAACCCGGACGAGTTTTCCAAACCCGGAGCTTACACGAAGGAGCTCGGGGCCCGGACGGAAGAGAAGAACCTCCGCGGCGGCCCCGCTCTCGGTTTCGCGGCCGACTCCCCGGAGTCGGCCGAGCGGGCGAACGGTGAACCGGACCAAAACAAACGACAAAAGACGAGACAGACGGATGGACCTGGCTCGGTCTGGTACTCGTGCCAGTTCTGCAAGGAGGCCTGCCCGGGAGCCATTCCGCTACATCAGCACGAGCGCTACCTGTGCAAGATGAACCAAGACATCCGAGCCGTTCTGCGGCCGGCCGGGCTCGGTCCGGGTTCGGAGTCCTCGGAATGGCCCGCGTCCGCCCGGGAGCCTCGCGCGAGCCCCGGAAGCCCTTTCGAGGATCACTCGGCGGTCGTGCGGACTCACTGGACCGCGAACGCGCGAGCCGACTCGGAGGAACTGCTCAGGATTTCCTTGGCCGTGGGCCTTCCGCAAGACTTTGTTTGGGAGTGGTTCGCTCAACGGAATCGCAGCCCTCCCGCGGGAGGCGGATCGGAACGGCGCCGGATCTCCGGACGTTCGCCGGCGTCGTCAAACGGCGACGCCTACCCGGGACAGTTCGCGACAAAGAGTCCGGAGGATAGAACGCCCGACGCCAGTCGGTCTCCGCTCAACTTGTCGTCCTCGTCTTCCAAACGCTCGCAGAGTAGCCCCTACGCACCGAACAGCCCGGTCTGGGAGGATCTTTGCGCCGATACTCCGCTCGATCTTTCCGTGCCCAAGAGCCTGTCGCGCGAGTGCGCCGAGAAAACCGGATCCGACGGTCTCGAAGCGGAACCTGGCGGCAACCGAGACCCGCTCCGCGTCACCAAAGACTTCCCGGACTCCGAGGGCGGCAGAAACTGCCGGCGGATGGAAAAATGCCCCACGTTTGGCATCGATCCCTCTCCGGCGCGTCCGGCCTACTCGCCCGTGCCGCCGCACGGCACTTTACCGCCGACGATGTTGCCGCCCCCCGTCCGGTACCCCGTCCCGGACTCGGGTGTCGGCTTCGCGCCCCGAATGGCGTTCGCCTACGCTAGCGGGGCGGCCGCGTTTGCCGACATCGCGCGCGGCGGACAAACACGATGGGAAGCGGCTTTCCAGGTGAGTGAGCGCGTGCGCGCGCGTGTGGCAATTCATTTCTCGACATTGGCTTTTATCTTTGGATTTTACCACCGCACCTAATAGGGTTGTTGCAGGACGGGGCGGTGGCAAGTCTGGGGGGCCTTGGTGGGTTTGCATGAGTGTGACCCGTGTCTGTAAAGATATGTGTGGGATTGTCACCATCTGCGTGTGTGTGTGTGTGCGTGCGTGCGTTAGGGGGAGCTGTTGGACGGGTCTTGGGACGACCTGTCAGGTGTGGGGCAGCTGACAGAAAGCCAGTCAAAAGTGAAGACGGCGAGTGGCGCCGCCGGCGGGACGTACGCCTGCGACTTGTGCCGCAAAACATTCCAGAAGAGCAGTTCCCTCCTCAGACACCGATATGAGCACACAGGTACGGTTCCTCTTTTCGTCCTCCTTCACAGAGACGGCGAGCGTCTTTCGGCAAGTCCACGTGGTCGTCGGGCCTTGGAATGTCACGCTTAAGAGTCATTTGCACGCTGCAAGCGTACTCGGCGCGCCGTTCTGCGGGTCGGCGCTGCAAGGTTTTGAGTGTGCTCGTGTGCGTGTCCCCTCAGGCAAGCGTCCTCACCAGTGCGGCGTCTGCCGCAAGGCCTTCAAGCACAAGCACCACCTGATCGAGCACTCGCGTCTGCACTCAGGAGAAAAACCGTACCAGTGCGACAAATGCGGAAAGCGCTTCTCGCACTCGGGCTCGTACTCGCAGCACATGAACCACCGCTACTCGTACTGCGAGAGGGAGGCCCAGGAGAGGCGGGCCCGCCCGCCGCCGTCGGACGCCGTCGACCCGCGCCGCCCCGCCGGACTCTCGGACCCCTCGGGCGCCGGCCGCTTCTCCGCGGCGCCAGCTTTCGAGGAGGAGGAATTCCGGACGCACTCGGCCGGGGACCCAGACCGCCGTGCTGACCTCTGAGTGCGACCGGACCGCTTTTCCTTTCACAACGTTTGCGCCGCCGGCAGGCGATTCGCGCGCTCAGTCCCGAGCCTCCGTTCGGCTCAGCTAAGACACGTTCCGCAAAGTCAAGCTTGGCTCAGCTCAGCGAGGTGAGGCGCGACAAAGCGATGCTAATACGGCCAAGCTAGCGGGAGCGCAGGCGGGGCCCCGCCCCCGACAACCGCTCCCTATCCGACGTCCTCGGAGAGCAGCTGAAGTTGCGCTCCCGGAATGGCCCCTGATTCGATGAGCGCGGCTTCCTGTGGCACCTGAGGTCGGAGGGGCGTGTCCTCCCTGTATGCGGGAGCCAATCGTATTGCAGCGTGGGATTCATCATGACGTCGCCCGTCGCGCCATTAAAAAAGGAGGCGAGGACCGGTGCGGGGGCAACCATCACCGCTTCCTGTCGGTCTTCTTCTTTCGCTTTGCTCGGATGTTCAACTGTTTCACACTTGAAGCCACAAATAAACGCACGAAGGCAGCAAGATGAGAAAAAGTCAAAGTTCATTAAAAGTGGCCTGTTACAACTGCAGCTGCAGTCGTGATCACTTGTGTCAAATGAAAACAAAAACATCCATCACATCTCTTGTCTTTCTTTTTGAATGCGTCCGTCATCTTTATTTCACGTCGTCGCGTTGCCGCACTTCAAACTTGGACCTGTCGTCTTACGTTTCTTCTGAAAGCAGCGGAAAACAGGACGCGGTCCACGTGCCCGTTTTCCACCGTGCTCGTGCTCCTCCTCGGGATGGTCCCGAGTGAGCTGCGGCCTCCGGCCTCGAACCCGGACGCAACAACGGCGAGGTGGCGGTGCGGTCCGTCCATTCAAATCCGTGGAATAGAAAACGAACAAAATGCTCCCAGAAACCTCTTCTCGTGAACACGCCCTTTCATTGATGGACAGCATCGTGGCGCTGCTGACTGGTGGGAATTGATGAACGAAATATTTCAATAACTCCCTTCAAAAAAAAAAAAAAAAAGTGTCATTGGTTGCACATGATTAAAATGTGGTCAACTGACGTCAAATTAGACAATCGCAATTTGCTGGTGTTTGGCCAAAACCTTCTCTTCAACAATTTGGTCAATTTCATCTCTCTCTCTCTCCCTCGCTGTGTATTTGTGTGTGTGTGTGTGTGTGTGTGTAATGTATGTCTTTGAAATTAAATGCTACGGAAATGTATTGCACCTCTGACTGACTTTTAATGTGTGGCTGTAAAAAAAATATTTGAACAAAAAAAAACAATATCTATAAATCTATAAATCTATCCATCCATTTTCCGATGTGCTTTCCCCTCCCAAGGGTCGTGGACCCCCTATCCCAGCTGTCTTCGTGCATTCCCCTCACGTGGGCGATGACGTCACGAGCAGGAAAACCTTGTCTCCGCTTGTTCATTCAGACGTTTTGTTCGGAAAGTTTCACATCCATAAATGTAAATGTCAGATTTTTTTGATTGAGGTCGATATTTACTTTCGGTCTCGATCTACTAACAAAGAAATGTAGATGAATAATTGCTAAACGTTCACAAATGTTTCAAAAGTAACATATTTATTTATTTATTATTTCGAATATTCTTTTTAAAATATTCATTTTTAATATAGAATTGAGTTTTATAACCCTGTTTTGTGGGTGCGTAAAAGATGTTCATTGGCTCGCCCGATGTCGTGTGGTCGATATTTTGTCAATTGAAAAAAAAAAAAAAAACAAAGGAACGGCGCGATGGCGTCATCGCGTCACGTGACGTAAGGCCGTCAGGCCAGCCCAATGGAGTCCCAGGTGAGTGCGTGCGCGCGTGTCGCCTTGTTCGCTCTTCGCCGAACTCGATGCCAGCGGCGGCGGGCGTCATCCGAGTTGGGTTAGGCGACTCTTGGCGACGTTCGCTCCTCGGCGAACGAGCGTCCAGAACCCAAGTTTGACCCGCGTCGCTCGGCTCGGAGCGGCGCAGCTCGGCACGCTGCTAACGCGGGAGCTAGCGCGGCTACCCCGAAGCGACGAAAGTCCAACTAAACAGCGGCCGTTGTCGGCGCAGCCGGCGCATTGGTCCTCGAAATGGTCAGCTGTCACCTAAAGTGACGTTCGGACGCCGGTGCGGCGTTAGCGAAACGAGAAGAAGTCGCGCGCCTCAATGACGTCATTGTCGTGGTTGACGACTACAAACCGCGCCGACGCGGAAGGTGTGTGTACAGCATTTCAAAGAGGAGACAAGAAACCTTCTCGATGCATCTTGCCGAGCCAACCGTCGTGACACAAGCGTAATGGACAAAAATGCGGACTTTTTCAAATGGAGGAAGTGTCCAGCAAATTTTGTGGCCGGCAAACCTCCCTTCCCTTTGTCGCGATTGCGGAGTCGGTAGTGTCGAAAAGCTACTCTGGCGCCCTCGGGTCATCCTTGTCACATTCTGACAACGTATCGGCCACGGGCCCCACGAACGACCTCGTCCGACCTTGGGACGAGGGAGCGCCGCGGCGGTCGCGCGACAATGAGAGGCGCGCGTGACGTCGATGTTATCGTGGAGGCGCCGTCGCCGCAGGTCTGCGAAGGACGCGGCCGTCGGCAGCACAATGAGAGCCGTAATGACAGCCCGCGAGGTCCCATCATGCCGATAGGCCGGCTCATTTGCATCGGCAGATACGCCTGATGGACCCGCGGCCATCGCGGCGCCCGCCACAAATGACTTGGCATTGTGTCCCTAATGGCGTCGCCCGCCCGACCTGTCACTCACTCGACGCGGCCGTCGCGTCCGCCGCCGCCTCATTTTGTCATTTGCCGTCCGCGCCGTCAGGCGGCGCCGCCTCCCGCCCGGGTCCTGCTCCTGGAACCGTTCTACGGGGGTTCCCACAAGCAGCTGCTGGACCTGCTCAGCGCCCACCTGGACTCCTGCGTGGCCTTCACCGCGCCCGCCAAGAAGTGGCACTGGAAGGCCAGAACCTCGGCGCTGGACTTCAGCCAGCGCGTCACGCCCAACCCGACCTACAGGTGGGTCACACCTCCTCCCCTCCTGGACCGGGACCCGACCGGCAAGCTACCTTCCGCGCTCGCAACCGATTGACTCGCCAAAGCATCCGCAACCGTTTTGAGAATCGGCGAATTACTTCTCAGAAAGCGGGAGAACGTCTGCAAACTCCAGACGGGACGGCCGCAGCCCGGAAACCGCGCACCTCTGGCGCCGTGAGGCGTGAGGTGACCTTTGCCTTTATTGAATCGGGAAAACAAGGAGCAAACGTTTTTGCCGATTTTCCGACGGCCGTCACGGGTCGGGACGCTTTGGGTCCCGGTCCGCTTTGCGTCGGCCCCGTGAGACTTTGGAACGGGAGACTTGTTGGGTTGAGACTCGTGCCAATGTGCGTCTCCTCTGCCGGGCAGGGTTCTGTTCTGCAGTTCGGTTCTGAACCTGTGCGAGCTGGCGGCTCTTCGACCGGACCTGGCCCGGCTGAAAAAGGTTGTGTACTTCCACGAGAACCAGTTGGTGTACCCGGTGCGCAAGGAGCAGGATCGGGACTTCCAGTATGGCTACAACCAGATTGTGTCGTGGTGAGCGGGCGGGCCGGCCGGCGGAGCCTCGCCCTCTGCGCGCTTTGCGAGTCACGTGCGTCATCTCGCGGGCAGTCTGGTGGCCGACGCGGTGGTCTTCAACTCGGCCTTCAACATGGACTCCTTCCTGTCGTCCGTGCCGTCCTTCCTGAACAAGATCCCGGACCGGTGCCCCCCCGACGACGTGGTGCGCGTCATCCGGCCAAAGTGTCGCGTCCTTCATTTCCCGCTCCGCTTGGGTGATGTCGGCAGGTCAGTGACGTCATGAAAAGACGGGAGCCCCGCCGCCTTTCGTTCCGGGCTGTCCGCTTTTTCCGCAAGTACGACCCGGCGCCGAGCGAGTCCGCAGCCGTCCGCTCCCGCCGTTCAAACGGGCGCCGACTTTGACGAGGAATGGGGCCCGTGTGCGGCGTCATCGACACGTGACGCGTCTTATCCTCCCGCCACATGTGTCGGCCTCGCTCGTCGGCTCTTTAATCAAAGGAGATCAAGTTTAATCGGAAAAACATCTGCTGAGCACCTTGATCCTCCTTAATCCCGTACCTCATCACAGACGCGCGCGCGCGCCGCGCTCATCTGTGTGTATGACTTGTCAGTCATTCGGGACAAGGTATTCCGCTCAAGTCCTTCCTCACGCCGCGCTCGAGGCCGATGCGCGGGCTCGTGCGCGGATGGAGCCCGGCGGCGCTGCGGCCTTCCGACAGGAAGTCGCGAGCGCTGTCGTTGCGCACGAGCCCTGTGCCTTTGTGGCCCTCTGCCGCTTCAGGCCCGGCCAGCCGTGACGCGGCGGGCTTTTCCTGACACATTTGCGATGGCACCGTTATTTGGAGCCGCTCACAATTCCGCTACCCCCGAAGTGCTGAAAAAAGTTGGCCCCAAATTGTTGTTGTTCAGAAGACGAAAGGCCATCGACTGAAATGGCTGAGGATGATGAGGAAAAAAAACAAAGTGCATCCTCATGTGCATTCATGCAACCTAAAGGACCATGACGTCAGCGTTTTATTTGGGAATGATTTTGCCAACGGATGTGCCCTGAAAGTCTCGACTGCTCACCCACCCACACGCGCGCGCGCGCGCACGCGTCATCCTCACCTGAGTGTGCGCATGTGTTTGTTGCTTTCAGGCTGCTTCCCAAATACAA